TGGTGTGCTATTTATTATATTTCACCTTGGAATGACATATACCAAGTGTGGAAACCAGTATTTGTCCCATTAGTCCCATTATTTGTCCCACTGGTGACCAGGTGACGGCAAGGACAATCTCATGGTGTGGAGGAGCGATTACCGCGGTCCCTTCTTTTCCCTTACTACTCTGCTTTGTGGCCTGTGGCAGCACAGCGTTTTACAAGGTTGGATCTCCAGGAAAAGGCAAATTTCCTTTCATTGAACTCACTGGTGTAAAAGCTCGGGATGTGCCTGGCGAGGGGGCAGTAGACACTGCCATGGGAAGCGTGCATCTCAAACAGGACTGAGTGCACCAAGTCTTTGAAATCCAGCTCCCTTCTTCTCTTGGGCTTCACTAGAAAAGCTACACGTTCATACATTTTTTTCCCCCTAAGGTGTTTTTAAATTGCTTTTGTTCCTAGTTTATTGTTATTATTTCTTTTTGTTTGTTCTTTTGTGAGTTTGTTGAGTTTGGGGAGGGAGGTTGTAATTACAGAGGAGTTGTTTTTATGGTTGTTTCCCAACACTTCAGGGGTGGGTGTTGTGTACACAAAATCAGTATCATAATTATGATTAATATTAAAAAGACGAGTAGTACGAGTGATAATAATAACATGGCAATGAAGACTGCATTTCTTGTTAAACATGGTGAGCTACCTGGGCAAGCAGCCCTTCCCTGAGGAGGACCGTGAACCTTAGATGGCAGGATCTCCCTCCAGAACCAAAGCCACCCCTAATTCCTGCATTTTGTCTTAAAGTCAGCAGAGTTATGGTTTATTGATAGAAGTACAGGAGCTGAGAACCTGTGAGATTCATCTCACGTAGGGGAAGAACCCCTCAGAGAGCTTTCCCTGTTCCACTTTGTCTTGGGATAGAGGAATCTGCGCCATTGGCCACATCTGGATGGGATGACACATCTGGCCAAAATCTGCCTTGTGTCTTTCTCCTTGCATCCACCCGCTTTAGCTGCCTTGCCCTACTCGTCCAGCCCAAGAGCTCTTGGTCCCTTCAGGCTGGCAGGACACTCTGATCAGGTGAGCTGGAGATGCTCTCCTGCCGTTCCCCAGCAGCTCCACATGAAAGAACGATTTGCAAGGTGCAAGAATTGCATTAACATTTTTTTCACACTCAGTTAAGAGGGATGGATGAGCTGGAATGCCACGGAGATAAAGCAAAGTGCAGCCGCCAGGAAAATGACGTGTGCTTCATCTTCTCGATTTTCTGGGTACTGCTCAAGGAGCTGTCTGGAATACGTATTTCTGTCATGCACACAATGATTTCTTGCCTCTCTGTTGGACTTGCAATCCCTAGTTCCTTAGACAGTGGAAAAACTTAGGAAGAGCTGCAAGAGCTTTTAGGGAAAGCAGCCCTCATCTCTCCACCTCCAGGTCTCCCTGGAGACAAAACTTCCAGCATGGAAGAGATGGAGGGGAAAGTCACTCCCCATCTTTCATTTTCATTTGATGCCTATCACTCTTGCTGATAAGACCAAAGAGCTGAAAGGTTTGAGCTGTTTCTCACAGGTGCTGACATAGCAAAGTATATATCAGAGAAGGCCTGACATTTGATGTGGCTTTATCATTGACAAGCAGGCAAATAAAATGGATAAATTAATCACCTTTCCTCTCCATCTGTCATAAGCTTTTATCCAACAGGGAGGAGAATGTTGCCAGTTTGTCCAGGCTTTTTAAAGTGTGACACTCTTGCATTTGCCAACCTACGTAATGCCTAAGTCGTCAAAATGCCGGAAGTGGAGGGGAAGAGATATCTCTCTGCAGAGAGATCTCGACAGGCTGGATCGATGGGCCGAGACCAACGGGATGAGGTTCAACAAGGCCAAGTGCCGGGTCCTGCCCTTGGGTCACACCAACCCCCTGCAGCGCTCCAGGCTGGGGGCAGAGTGGCTGGAGCTGCCGGGCAGAAAAGGCCCTGGGGGTGTTGGTGGCCTGTGGGCTGAACAGGAGCCAGCAGTGTGCCCAGGTGGCCAAGAAGGCCACCAGCATCCTGGCCTGTGTCAGGAACAGTGTGGGGAGTAGGGCCCGAGAGGTGATGGTCCCCCTGTACTGGGCACTGGTGAGGCCTCACCTCGAGTGCTGTGTCCAGTTTTGGGCCCCCTACCATAAAAAAGACATTGAGGTGCTGGAGCGGGTCCAGAGAAGGGCGACAAAGATGGTGAGGGGTCTGGAGAATAAGTCTTATGAGGAGAGGCTGAGGGAGCTGGGGTTATTCAGCCTGGAGAAGAGGAGGCTGAGGGGAGACCTTATTGCTCTCTCCAACTCCCTGAAAGGAGGGTGCAGAGAGGTGGGGGTCGGTCTCTTTTCTCAAGTCACAGGTGACAGGACAAGAGGAAATGGCCTCAAGTTGCACCAGGGGAGGTTCAGGCTGGATATTAGGAAAAATTTTTTCACTGAAAGGGTTCTCAGACACTGGAATGGGCTGCCCAGGGAGGTGGTTGAGGCCCCATCCCTGGAGGTGTTCAAAAGACAGGTTGATGAAGTGCTGGGAGGTATGGTTTAGTGATGATGCTCCTTGTTTGTTGTCTGGGTGTTTATTTTTGTCAAAATTAGGTTGACGGTTGGACAAGATGATCTTTAAGGTCCCTTCCAACCTAGAAGATTCTGTGATTCTGTGATTCTGTGGAATGTGAATACCACTTACAACACAGACTGGTGGACCACAAAGCTGGGTTTCAAGCCTCTCTGGTCTTTTTGAAAAGCCCCCAGAGATTTCCAACCACTATTTCCCTCAGCTCATTGACCCTAACCGCTTTGCCCCAAGCAGCCGTCTCATGGCTCACCGTGTATACCTCATTTCTTTTTTCAATTTTACTAAGTAATGGTTATCTCTGATTTCACCGCATCTGGTGGAAACTTGGGGAGTTCTGCATGACTTTTACAGCCTGAGTAAGGAATAAGGGACATGGACCATAAGCCCAGGAGCAGTCCTGCAGTGATTTCTCAGCAGAGCCAAGGCACACCTATGCTGCCCGTTGCAAGACATCGTTGCTGTGTTGCCTAACTTTGCCACCACAATAGCCATGCTTTTGGGGTAAAACCATGTTACAAGTTCATCAGAAGGAATCACCCATTTTCCAAGCTGTCTTAAAAATCACTGTGCTGTTATCATTTAAAAGCAAATCGCGTTAAAAGGTCTGTCTTTTTTTCCTGAGGAGCGGTCTAGGGATCCCTCTGATTTCAAATATATAAATCTAGGGATACCTCTGATTTTTAAAATATAGCTTCAGGGTTTGAAAAAGAATAATCAAACTTTATTTCTCCTTCCCTAGTGAAAAAACAAAACAAAACAAAACATGCAAGACATTTTAAATGATCCCTTTTTGTCCAAGGCCTCCAAGCTCATACATCTCTGTGAACATTTTAAAGATAGTCTTTTTTCACTGTTGATAAATGGTTGCAAGGGACCTGTGGTTGCCACCTCCATGATGCTGTCAGCAGGAAACATTTTTACCCTCGAATCCTGATGTTCCGTGGTTCTTTATACCATGTGTCTGCTCCTTTGCCTTATTTGCAAAAGATGGAGCTGGAATGGGCTGCCCAGGGAGGTGGTTGAGGCCCCATCCCTGGAGGTGTTCAAAAGACAGGTTGATGAAGTGCTGGGAGGTATGGTTTAGTGATGATGCTCCTTGTTTGTTGTCTGGGTGTTTATTTTTGTCAAAATTAGGTTGACGGTTGGACAAGATGATCTTTAAGGTCCCTTCCAACCTAGAAGATTCTGTGATTCTGTGATTCTGTGGAATGTGAATACCACTTACAACACAGACTGGTGGACCACAAAGCTGGGTTTCAAGCCTCTCTGGTCTTTTTGAAAAGCCCCCAGAGATTTCCAACCACTATTTCCCTCAGCTCATTGACCCTAACCGCTTTGCCCCAAGCAGCCGTCTCATGGCTCACCGTGTATACCTCATTTCTTTTTTCAATTTTACTAAGTAATGGTTATCTCTGATTTCACCGCATCTGGTGGAAACTTGGGGAGTTCTGCATGACTTTTACAGCCTGAGTAAGGAATAAGGGACATGGACCATAAGCCCAGGAGCAGTCCTGCAGTGATTTATCAGCAGATCCAAGGCACAACCTATGCTGCCCGTTGCAAGACATCATTGCTGTGTTGCCTAACTTTGCCACCACAATAGCCATGCTTTTGGGGTAAAACCATCTTACAAGTTCATCAGAAGGAATCACCCATTTTCCAAGCTGTCTTAAAAATCACTGTGCTGTTATCGTTTAAAAGCAAATCGCGTTAAAAGGTCTGTCTTTTTTTCCCTGAGGAGTGGTCTAGGGATCCCTCTGACTTCAAAGATATAAATCTAGGGATACCTCTGATTTTATTTTAAAATATTTATTTTAAAATATAGCTCCAGGGTTTGAAAAAGAATAATCAAACTTTATTTCTCCTTCCCTAGTGAAAAAACAAAACAAAACAAAACATGCAAGACATTTTAAATGATCCCTTTTTGTCCAAGGCCTCCAAGCTCATACATCTCTGTGAACATTTTAAAGATAGTCTTTTTTCACTGTTGATAAATGGTTGCAAGGGACCTGTGGTTGCCACCTCCATGATGCTGTCAGCAGGAAACATTTTTACCCTCGAATCCTGATGTTCCGTGGTTCTTTATACCATGTGTCTGCTCCTTTGCCTTATTTGCAAAAGATGGAGCTGCACACAAGCCTAGCTAGGACATCTTGGTATTTTCAACACGTGGTTTCTAGGACATGGTGGGGTCCCAGTCTGTTCAGGGCACGTGGCGGGCACTTTAGAGTCTATGCTTCAGGTTGCAGCTTTCTTGATGCAGGATTGAAGTCTTGGTGCATGTAGTGTTTTCCCTGCTGGTCCATTGAGCCACAGCTTGGTGAGTGGAGACAAATATTTGGGGAAGGGTCTCAGACAGCCTTCCTTTGTGTCTGGGGTGGATTAGAAGCCATGCACTACGCAACTGATGATCTTTTTGGTTTTATCTCCAGCACAGTGATGCAGTCCATGATCTGCTCCTGGACTTTATCACGTGGGTTGGCATCCTGCTCTCGCTGGTCTGCCTCCTGATCTGCATCTTCACCTTCTGCTTCTTCCGGGGGCTGCAGAGTGACCGTAACACGATTCACAAGAACTTGTGCATCAGCCTCTTTGTGGCAGAACTCCTCTTCCTCATCGGCATCAATCGGACCGATCAGCCGGTAAGAACCAAAGCTCTTTCTGTTCTTGCCGCCGTCTTTCGTCTCGGTGCCTGGGGGATGTTTGACCATGAAATGAGATAAGATGTCACAGGGTCAGGCCCCTGGTTCTCACCTGAGAGTCAGATGCTGGTGCCTGCTGCGATTTCAGGGCTGTATGTGCATTGTTTGTAAATAAGGTGTGTATACGTTCAATAAGCAGGTTGTATGCTGTGTACATCTTTGTATGTTTATTTGCCAGATTGTGTATGTACCTACCTTTTTTATCTTGGAATATAATGTATATATGCAGACGTGTCTATTTTCCAAGTGAAAAAAAAGTTCTTCCTTTGGAGAAGGGAAGATAAGAACTCTGTCACTCTTATTAAACTTCTCAGTAAGAGTAATCCCCAGTGTTGCATTAATTCATCATGTGTCGTGGTTTTGACCAGATTGACCAATCAGAATGACAGATGGCCCCTCCCTCCCCCCTCTAAGGAAAAGAGAGGAGAGGAAGAGATAAAAAAAAGAGATTTATGAGTTTAGAAAAAACTAAACTACTTTAATGAAAATATTAATAAATAATGAAATAATAAATAATAATAAGAAAAGAAAAAAATAGTATACATTATATACAAAACCAAGGTCCCAGGATGATGATCACGTCACCAGCAGGCACAGGGGAAAGTCCCAGGCTGGACTCGGTGATGGACAGGAGCTGGATCCTGGATCTGGAGTCAGGAACACTCGGATGGGGATCAAAGGCAGAGGAACAGACAGGGTCCTCCTCAGCCGTTGGCCATTGAAGGAAGAGAGTTGACCCTTTGATCCCTCAGCTTTTACACTGAGCATGGGGCAGATGGGATGGAACACCCTGTTGGTCAGGTTTGGGTCACCTCTCCTGTCCCTCCTCCCCACAGGTGGGACCCCTCTACGCTTTTCCACTTCCAACCCTCTAAGGGGGCAAATAACGAAGTTACCTGACCTTGGTTGTTGTAGCAATAAGTATAAACAAGAGCCTCTCTGCTCACCATCCCTTGGTATAATCAGGTCTTATCACTGTGAGAGTGAACAATTTCTGAACAAAACGCTGTTAATTTCAGAGTTTAGTTAGTTAGAAGAGGCCCAGCTGAAAAAGTGAAATCACCCAACAGAAAAAAATTAGTTGTTTTACCTCAAATCACGGTACCAACACCTTTCTCTGTGCTCCTCACTCAGATTGCCTGTGCCGTCTTTGCTGCCCTCCTGCACTTCTTCTTCCTGGCAGCTTTCACCTGGATGTTCCTGGAAGGGGTGCAGCTCTACATCATGCTGGTGGAAGTTTTCGAGAGCGAGCACTCCCGGAGGAAGTACTTCTATTTGGTTGGCTATGGCATGCCTGCACTGATTGTGGCTGTCTCGGCAGCGGTGGACTACCGGAGCTATGGCACAGACAAAGTGTGAGTGGGGGTGCTTGGGAGTGGTGGGAGTGGGAAGGGAATCGTAGAATCATAGAATCATTGAGGTTGGAAAAGACCCTTGGGATCATCGAGTCCAACCATCAACCCTACTCTACAAAGTTCTCCCCTACACCACATCCCCCAACACCACATCGAAGGAGCTGGGAGTGATTAGTTTGAGGAAGAGGAGGCTGAAGGGAGACCTCATCACTGTCTACAACTACTTGAAACGACATTGTAGAGAGGTTGATGCTGGTCTCTTCTCCCAGGTAGGGAACGGCTTCAAGCTCCCAACAGGGTAGGTTTAGACTGAACATTAGGAAACAATTCTTCACAGGAAGAGTGGTCAGAGTCTGGAACAGGCTGCCCAGGGAGGTGGTTGAGTTGCCATCCCTGGATGTGTTTAAGAGCCGTTTAGGAAGTACCAAATGACAAATCACCGAGAGGTGATTGTCCCCCTGTACTTGGCACTGGTGAGGCCTCACCTTGAGTACTGTGTCCAGTTTTGGGCCCCCTACCATAAAAAAGACATTGAGGTGCTGGAGCGGGTCCAGAGAAGGGCGACAAAGATGGTGAGGGGTCTGGAGAATAAGTCTTATGAGGAGAGGCTGAGGGAGCTGGGGGTGTTCAGCCTGGAGAAGAGGAGGCTGAGGGGAGACCTTATTGCTCTCTCCAACTCCCTGAAAGGAGGGTGTAGAGAGGTGGGGGTCGGTCTCTTCTCTCAAGTCCCAGGCGACAGGACAAGAGGAAATGGCCTCAAGTTGCGCCAGGGGAGGTTCAGGCTGGATATTAGGAAAAATGTTTTCACTGAAAGGGTTCTCAGGCATTGGAATGGGCTGCCCAGGGAGGTGGTTGAGGCCCCATCCCTGGAGGTGTTCAAAAGCCGGGTTGATGTGGTGCTGGGAGGTATGGTTTAGTGATGATGCTCCTTGTTTGTTGTGTGGGTGGCTATTTTTGTCAGTCAGGTTGACGGTTGGACAAGATGATCTTTAAGGTCCCTTCCAACCTAGAAGATTCTGTGATTCTGTGAAAGGGAAGTGAAGAGCTCAGAGACCTGTCAGGCAAAGGAGGCTTGTGCAGGCAGAGCTCAGCCCAGAGGCATTCCTTGCCTTATCTTTGTGTCTCCAACACAGTCCATGGTGAGACAGGACAAATTCCTCACTGTGAAACAGTTTGCAAAGGTATCTTCTTGGGAAGATATCTTCAGTGGGGGAAAATTTTATCACATCATTGCATAGGACCAGCAGAGGTGGCTGTCCCAGGTTTCAGTTTGGTGCTGTATCAGCAAGGTCGTACTTCTTCTCCAACCAAAGAGCATTTCTCACGTGGATGATGGAACACTGCTTTCTTCTTCCTCTGTTTTTTGAAGTGTTCTATCAAATTAACAGAGCCTGCAAGCGAAATAGGCGGGGACTGTGGAGTGCACTAGACTCTTTGCAAATCAGAACAGCTACATCATTTATCATTATGAGTATTCCTAAATGTTTTCAGCGTTGCTTAAGCTGGTATCAAAGCACAATTTAGATGATTGTGCAACATCGTCTAATGGAAAACAAAGGGAAAATTGAGCCTTTGATATTCTTTGCCAGCTTTGTTACAGTAATACTAACAATGTGTTTTTATTTACTTTTTTTGCTTTCACTTGTCAGGCTGCCTTTCTCCTGTCATTTTAACTGTATTAAGGGCTCAGTCTGAAGGCATACATAGCAATGAGCTGGTGGCATTTTTAAAGCTCTTTTTTTAGCATAGCTTGGGTCAGGCCACGATTAACAGTTAATATTGCATTAAATTCAACTGCAGAATTTTTGCCTGAAACCTTATTGATAGAGATGAACCTGATTTCTTGCGGAAGTAAATCCATAGAGTGGTGGAGCTGCTCGTGATTCATTACCGTGCCAGCAGGTAGGCTTGGATCCCAGCTGAGTATTTGCGTCGTGTTCCTCCCATGAGTAGGAGAATAGCAACCTGAATTTGTGTAAGTGTCACACTTTGTGGAAAGGAAATGGCCCACACAGATACAGGTAGGAGGGAGTAAGTTTTCAAGGATCTCTACCAGTTTATCCAAAGTAGTTTGACCGACTTTGAACAGGCCTAGTGGGCAAAGAAAAAGTAACACAGTACAATTTCTGGAGAAGACCGTTTCCATCAGCTGCCACCTGCTTTCTGCCTCCACCCAGCTCTTCTCTTCACATCCCCTCTTGACCGATACCTAAGCTCCCATTGAATCAGGTACTGAAAGACTCTGCATTGTCCCTTTAGATAAACTTTTTCTTACTGCAGTGTTTCTACGGAGGACCTGTCTCTTCACAGTGGCCTACATGGGGCACGTTGAGCATCAGGACCATGATGTCCAGCTCCCTGGAAAGTCAGCTCCCACGCACCTACCATCACTGGAGCTGTGTCCACACCAGCCCAGTTCACAGTCTGATTTTTTAGTGGCTGCCTTCACAGAATCACAGAATCACAGAATCTTCTAGGTTGGAAGGGACCTTAAAGATCATCTTGTCCAACCGTCAACCTAACTGACAAAAATAGACACCCACACAACAAACAAGGAGCATCATCACTAAACCATACCTCCCAGCACTACATCAACCCGTCTTTTGAACACCTCCAGGGATGGGGCCTCAACCACCTCCCTGGGCAGCCCATTCCAGTGTCTGATAACCCTTTCAGTGAAAAAATGTTTCCTAATATCCAGCCTGAACCTCCCCTGGGGCAACTTGAGGCCATTTCCTCTTGTCCTGTCGCCTGTGACTTGAGAAAAGAGACCGACCCCCACCTCTCTACACCCTCCTTTCAGGGAGCTGTAGAGAGCAAGAAGGTCTCCCCTCAGCCTCCTCTTCTCCAGGCTGAATAACCCCAGCTCCCTCAGCCTCTCCTCATAAGACTTATTCTCCAGACCCCTCACCATCTTTGTCGCCCTTCTCTGGACCCGCTCCAGCACCTCAATGTCTTTTTTATGGTAGGGGGCCCAAAACTGGACACAGTACTCAAGGTGAGGCCTCACCAGTGCCGAGTACAGGGGGACAATCACCTCTCGGGCCCTACTCGCCTTCCACGCTGTTCAATGTGTGACTCCTGCAGTGTTACCATCACAGGGCTTGTAGCACCAGAGTGATCCATTTGACTTCTCTCTCAATGTTTGTCTACCAAGAAAACCCATTAATGCAGCTAGTTCATGGTGAAAGCCAGCAGAACTGTGTTCTCTTACAGTGCTCTATAGCTGTTGAGTGTTGAAAATGTCTTCATTCTCTCGTGGCAAAAGGACATCCCCAAGCCCAGGGCATTGCTTTGGACGTGAGACAGCATTTTATTTGCATCCGCCCTCATCTTTGCAAAGTCACTCGTGATGCTCTGCAGGGACAACCAGAGTACCAGTGTAGGTTGTGATGTTCTGTAGGGAGTACCAATGTAGGTTGTGATGATCTGTAGGGACAGCCAGAGTTCCAGTGTAGGTTGTGATGCTCTGTAGGGACAACCAGAGTACCAATGTAGGTCGTGATGCTCTGTAGGGACAACCAGAGTACCAGTGTAGGTTGTGATGATCTGTAGGGACAGCCAGAGTACCAATGTAGGTCGTGATGCTCTGTAGGGACAACCAGAGTACCAGTGTAGGTTGTGATGCTCTGTAGGGACAACCAGAGTACCAGTGTAGGTTGTGATGCTCTGTAGGGAGTACCAATGTAGGTTGTGATGATCTGAATGTTTCCATGGCATGGGAGGTACGGGCCAAAATTTGGCTAAAATTTGCTGGAGGTGAACAACAAAACTTTGCTGTCTTTGTGTTGAGGAGGCAGCAGTCCTGTGTCTGTGCCAGTAAAATCCCTCCCCACAGCATGAAGTAGTATTTTTAATGATTAAACATGTATATATAATATTTTGCAAATAAATATTTACAGGGATTTTCAGAGCCTTAAATATTTATTTATAATCACTAATTCCAGAGTGCACAATTTTATCACATTCTCATAGTGGAAAATAAAAAAACACACAATATGTTTTGTATAACTATCATGCTCCATCTGGTTGATGGATGATGATGTATTTTTCTGTATAATGTTATTAGAAGGGTAGAACTGATTAGAATTTGTAGTGAACTATATGCCAGGCATACATAATTTGATTGCAAGAAGTTGCTTGGTTTTGCCGGGTTTTGTAAAACATCCTCTGGAATATATTAGTTGCCTCTCTCCATTATTTATTGCATTTGTTTAAGCAGGACTTATGGAGCTGTTAGTGTTATTTGTTTTTTGCCTGGCATTTGGTGCCACCATTCATACATCTCAGAATGATTTACTTGGACAGCCAGTGTAGGTTTTCTTGATTTCATTTTCCTTTCTAAATCCAGCCCTCCTGTAACACATGCCCGGCTTACATAGCCGGGAACAGGCAGTTGTTCCTCTCTCTGTTTCTTTGCTGAGTGATTGTGATTTTCTGAAGCATTCTATGTCCAAGCATTCATATTGGCATTTTGGAGTAGCTGCGCAGTAAAGATACTCTCTTACACTTAATTATTCCAAGGACTGGAACTGATCCTTTTCCTTTTACTATTTTTTTTAAGAGCAGTTCAAGCTACTCATATTAGGAGATTAATTTTCTTTCATAACCAAGCAGCAGTGCAGTGATTCCACTAATTCCATTAGTGATTCCATCCCATTCAGACCAGCAGGGTGTGATGCTCTGTAGGGACAACCAGAGTACCAGTGTAGGTTGTGATGATCTGTAGGGACAGCCAGAGTACCAGTGTAGGTCGTGATGCTCTGTAGGGACAACCAGAGTTCCAGTGTAGGTTGTGATGCTCTGTAGGGACAACCAGAGTTCCAGTGTAGGTCGTGATGCTCTGTAGGGACAGCCAGAGTACCAGTGTAGGTTGTGGGAGCTGCAGCTGTGTTGCTCCATCATGCAGCAGGCTGGCTGTAGAGAGTGGGAACATAGGGCACCTCACCACAGTTCCAAAAAGCACCATGGCAGATTTGCATTCTGCTCCTGTTAAATGA